GAAAAGATGGGAGTTGCCTTACCAAGTGTGAGGTCAGTCTAACGAGACAATTCAATTAACAGTAGGATACCAAAGGAGGAAAAATAACTTTTGTAGTGGTAATGAGAGTGGCCCATTTCAAACAGTTGACAAGAAGGTGTGAGTAACAAGTAGGGGGAAATTAGTATGAAGGAAATTAGGTTTAGGTTTTGTAATGACCCAACCACTCCCAGTTTTTATTCAGGCCTAATTTGATGGTGGCCAGTTTGCAAATTAATTCCAGTTCTGCAGTTTCATGTTGGAGTCTGTATTTTATCCATCTATAAAATGGACGCAATGGGCCTCAAACTTACCTGCTTACATTAAGAAGGATGAACAATTTTTTTTCAAAATAAAACTAACTAAACTAAATAAAATTAAGTAGCAACGTACAGCCCCATTTGCTCTGTGTTAACCAGAGTGCACAGCTGGGGGTGCTGAATTAAGAGATTTTTCCAAGGGCCATTGTCCCACAAGAAGCGAGGTGGTTTGCAGGACAGAGTTTTTTTAATTTCTGTAGCAACTAGGCTGTGCTTATCTGTTTGAAAGAGAAAGGGGATATATGGTACATGACGGGCAGAAAAGTAGCAATTAGAGCTGTGTAGAGGATAGAAGTTGTTTCATGAAGGATTTTGAGATTCTGAAATTTTGGCTTCATTCTGAATCAGAACAATCCCCCTCAAATTTTGAAATTCTCCTGAGGAAAAAAATTGTTTTGGATTAATCTAAATGTTTAACTTTGACAAAATCAAAATATTTTGTTTTGATTATGACTTTATTTTGTATTATATAGTTCAAGATAACATTCAAAATGAGGAAACTTGTTTCAAAATGAAAAAAATCAAAACATTTTGCAACAATGTCAAAATAGTATGTTTTATCATTGTGCAAACTTTCTTCCGGTTTTCTTCCTAAATGAAATTCTCTTGAAATCGGCCTGATTTTTGTGAAGCGTTTCAATTTTGATGAAAGAAGAACAGGAGTACTTGTGGCACCTTAGAGACTAACAAATTTATTAGAGCATAAGCTTTCGTGGACTACAGCCCACTTCTTCGGATGCATATCTGTATCTGTACGAGTTTTTTCATGAGGTTGATGGATTTCCACTCCATACGGCTAAATGCAGTGCCTTGCATAATGATACAGACTAACACGGCTGCTACTCTGAAACCTGTCAATTTTGATGGAATGGCATATTCCAGCCAATCCACTGTGGCTCTATCCACGCTGGATTAGAGACTGGGAATGGATGAACAAGCAGCGAACTAGCAAAGGTTGCTCACCTGCTAGGTTTCCCAAATGCTGACAGAGAAAGTCACATAGAACCCATTCACACTCTTGCCTGCAGCATAATGAAGTGGATAGGGCATTAGAGTAGGATTCAAGAGACTGGAGTTCTATCCCTGGCTCTGACACTGACACAAGAATTGCCATAATTGATTAGACAAATATTCCATCATTCTGTCTCAGACAATAGCCAACTCTGGATGCTTCAGAGGAAAGCAGAAAAAATCCTGTAGTGAACAATAATGGAATAACTTGCCCACAAGGCCATTTTTTTCCTAACTTTCAATAATTATTGGTTGGTGTATGGCCTGCGCTAGAGCACTATGGTTTACATCCCTTTTAAAACAGTTTTTAATCCTACCTAATGAAACTGTGGATGTCCTCATTATTCATACAGATGTATAAGCCTGAAGTTTAGAACTGAAAACAAATACTTAATAGAGTGCATAGTTAACCTGTGGAACTCTCTGCCACAAGATATCACTGAGTCTAAGACATTAGTAGGATTAAAAAAGATCCAGACATTTATGACCTGGCATGTGAGCTTGGGCAAATCACTTCATCTTTCTATAACTCACTTTCTAAATGGGGATAATGACACTTACCCTCCTCTGTAAAAAGCAACAAAGAGTCCTGTGGCACCTTAAAGACTAACAGATGTATTGGAGCATAAGCTTTCGTGGGTGAATGCCCACTTCGTCAGACGCATGCAATGAAAATTTCCAGAGGCAGGTATAAATATGCAGGCAAGAATCAGTCTGGAGATAACGAGGTTTACCCTCCCCGATTGAACTAACCTCATTATCTCCAGACTGATTCTTGCCTGCATATTTATACCTGCCTCTGGAAATTTTCATTGCATGCGTCTGACGAAGTGGGCATTCACCCACGAAAGCTTATGCTCCAAAACATCTGTTAGTCTTTAAGGTGCCACAGGACTCTTTGTTGCTTTTTACAGATCCAGACTAACACGGCTACCCCTCTCCTCCTCTGTAAAGTGTTTTGAAATCTAAACATAGAAAGCACAATATATGACTTACACATTATTCTCAGCTCAAGCACGGGAGTGTATTCTAAGGGTAACAGGAAAGGAAACTACAGGATGTCTCCAGTCCTAACTGGGGAAATAGGAAGGTGGTCTTTCTTCTCTTACCACTTTCCTTGAATGTTGTGACAGGAATATTTCAGATCTTCACTATCATCAGATGGCTCACTTTGTCCAGCACGACTGCCTCTCAAATACCAGCTAAGGAAATAGAACTGACTTCTCCTTCAATTGACTCCTTAGTTTGTTCCAGCATCAGGCAGAAAACTTGATTTACTAATGTGCTGTCTTGGGTTTCAATGATCAGCACACATTATTGTGCAAAACTTAAAAGCAGTAACTTAGCACTGGAATGTCAAACAGTGAACAAACCTACCCCTTTTCTCAGGTGAGGTTTGTCATGTTCTTCTGTACCTGATATGGACTGGCTATAGAGCACCAGATGTGGTCATCATAAGATCCTTTAATGCTCTGCCAGGCATGGCTAAGGTTCATTTAAATAAGTTATTTTACACACAGTGATATATAATGGCTGAACAATCTGATACAGCTTATTACATCTCCCCCTTAAAGTTCTACATTCCTACCACTATCAATATTTACACTATCACACTGTCTTTAAAGTTAAGTACAGATCAGTCTGTTATGTGTCTCTGAATTGTACTGGTTTTCTAGTTACATGACTCCAATTCATAACAACTTGGTCATCTGGCTGTCCATTAGTTGCAACTAGGGTGACCAGATGTCCCGATTTTATAGAGAGAGTCCCGAAATTTGGGGCTTTTTCTTATAGCACCTATTGCCCCCCACCCCAGTCCCGATTTTTCACACTTGCTATCTGGTCACCCTTATTGCAACAATTGGCTATGGTTGGTTTGGAATCCCCAAGTTGTCATCTTCTTGTTCTCCATCTGACATCTGTAGAGAGTTTGATACATTGATTGTACTGAGGAAGAAACTGTAGATGTTGATGCTTTCTGTTGAAATCTCCACTATTAGTCTCAATCACAAATGAGCTTGGTGATGAATTCTTTTTTACGGGGGCTGGAGTTGTCCACCCTTTTTCTCCATCCAATTTGACATGAACAGGGTTGCCAGGTTCTAGATCTGGCAGTTTTCTGAGAGATATTTGTTGTAAAAGTGTTCCTGAGCTCTTTTAGCTGTTCCGTCCAATTTGGCTCTCTCTTCATGTCTGGCCACTTTGGAAATAGGCTCTTTTCCAAAGTAGGAACAGTAGTTCTGAATTCTTCCCATAAGGAGCTGTGCTCGACTATATCCATTAGCTACTATTGGTGTTGATCTGTAACTCAGAAGAGCAAGGACTGGATCTTCCTCCTGTAGGATTTTCTTGGTTGCCTAAACAGCTATCTCAGCCAGCTTGTGGATAATGTGGGCTTATTGTTTGGATGACTTAAATTCTGCTGCAGTGAATTGTGGTTCATTGCTCAGCTCTAATTGTTCTGAAATACTGAAGTGAGCAAAAGTGCACTTCAGTTTCTCGTTTACTCTGAGACATTATATCTTTCAAGTACATTATTTATATATACCTGGAAAAACAGTTCATGAACACCAGGTAATGATGTCTTCTGAATTCACATAAATCTGCAACTAGTCTCTTCCAAGATTTGTATGATAGAGTGTTGTTCTTAAAGGTTCTTTGCATTATGTTGGTCTGTTAGTTCTGCAATTTCCACATGCAGATACTTTATTCTTTATGTCTTTACTGATGCCCAGCCACCACACTGACTGGTTGGCTCATTTGCAGCATTTAGTTAATCCGCTATGTCCTTCATGGATGATTTCTCCTTTCATTTTGTTTGGAATTATGATGCAATTGCCTTTAATCATGAGTCTATTTGGCTCACTAAATTGTCCATGCACTGCAAAAAAGTCTCTTGTCCCTTCCTTAGTGACCTTTAGATACTTGGGCCAGACGCCCAAAGGGCGTGATAAATTTTGTCAGTTTAGCACTTTGTTTGGCTACAGGAATTTGGCAGAATCTGCTTGAGGGATGTAGCTTGGAGAATACTTTAGCTCCTTTCACTTTGGGAAGGAAGTCATCCAGTTTTGGGAGGATATATTTTTCTCTCACAACTGTTTCATTAAGTCTCTTAAGAGATACACAAATTAATATTTTCCCATTATTCTTTGTAATTGGTACCATTGGGGCACACCATGCTGTTGGCTCAGATTTTCTCAAATATGACAATCTCTTTTATTCTCTTCAACTCAATTTTCCATTCTATGGAATAATGGGATAGGAATCCTGGGAGGTGTGTATACACTATATAGATCAGCATTTGTACTGAATCTCCTTTCAAAAGTCCAAATGTCACCAAATGTTCCAAGTTTCTCAATAGGCCCATGACAACTGCCACGCAGTGGCTGAGAAGGCTGTTGGTCTGTGGTCCTTTGATCACAAAGACAAAAGCTATGCATTCAGAGTGTAAGCTGTTTCTGTGGTGAACTGGCCCATGCAGTTCAGAATACCTCCAGGGCTAATTAGAGATGTGTCAAGTGACCTCAGCTCTGGGAGGGGTTGAAGGTGATTGTAAAGTCCCTTCTGAGATGACTGTGATGTCTGTTGGGATATCCTATGTCTTCAGACACGACCAATGGACACACACAGGAACACACAGAGACTGGAGTCTTTGGTTACGGCTCAGTTTATTGTAGCAGAAGCTCAACTACACCCTGCAGAAGCATAGCTGTACCACACGTTCACCTCCCCCACATCATACAGGTTCTGCCCGTGGTTACCTACATTTCCTCCATGTCAATATACTTGAAACTAGTCTCTGGAAGAGGCTGTGCTGAGTGGGCATGGTCTGTAAACATAGCACTGTCCCTTATGACTCGTGCAGCTACCACCAAATCTTCCACCTTTGACAGCAATTAATTGGGGACTAGCTGAGGCACAGTAGTGTAGTTTAAACACTGAAGATTGAGTATGGCCTAATGAGACTTGTAGTAGGGCTGTAGCAGGGCTGAAGAGAGAAATTCACTAGAGGCTCAGGTGAGCCATCTGTAGGCTGGAGTTTTATTGCCAAGGTTTTGGTTTAAACCCAAACTGACACCAATTTGGCAAAAATCTCTAGCTCTATTTCTTCCATACAGTGTAAAAAGTAGTAAGCTCAAAAATATAGAAAGAAGTAAAGTAGTTTCTGTTTTTCCCCAGAACTCTCGGTCTTGGAATTTTAGCCAGCACAACCTTTGTCTCTCTCCTGAAAGCAACACACTCTTCTCTGAAGAGATTGAGGCTAAAGTCAGGCCTACACTTGGAAGGCTTTGTTGGTATAGCTATACAGGTATACTATACCGGCAAAGCACTCCTAGTGTGGACACAGCTTATACAGGCAAAACTGCATTTTTGCTGGCACAGCTTATTCCATCCTCATAAAGTGATATAAGTTAGTACATTAGGAGCTTTTGTCGGCACAGCTATCTCCATCATGAATTATACCTCATCACACCCTTGACCAACATAGCTATGTCTACCAAAGTCTGTAATACAGACCTGGCCTAAATAGGCTGAGATCCACCTAATTTACCTCTGGCTGGAAGTAGACTCTGCTTGGCCTCTCCAACCAGGCTGGACATTAACTCCTGAAATTCCATTCTATTGTCTGACCCAACAGAGCCTTTTCGTAGGGCCAGAAGCCTCAGAGTCCTTACTGGGGGCACCCAAAGATGTCTTTTCTATCACTGTGCTTTGAAGGGGTACTGTAGAGTTTAATTCATGTTCGTCAAGTAGTGATTCTGGGGTGAAAAAGCATCACACAACCATCATTAATAGGAAACAGGTTTAGAATTCTGTACAGAAATGTAATTTTGAGGGGCAATAAAAACAAACATAAGCTTTAGCAATCCCCACTAAATCCAGGACTCTATTTTTCCCCAAACCCATCTTCCATGCTTATTAAAACAAATCCCATTACTTTCTTAAGTACCAATAAGACATGACAGGCAATGTATTTCTGGGGGATTATTGCACTTCTTGTATAGTTGAAAGCCTTTGGCTTTGCCTTACTGTTTACCGAAGGCATGCAATAATTCCCCCACAATGCATTGCCTGTCATGTTTTATTGCTTAATTAAGTGAACAGGGTGAGCTCATTAGCACTATAATTAAAATCCATTACCTGTTGTTCAACTTTAGTAATAAATCTTTTAGTATATTATTTTGATTTCAGTATCCCAACTCTCTGCTTTTCAGATGTTAACTCTTAAGGTTGTAGGTCAACAACAACATATTATAGAACATATAACTGTAAACCTTAGTGCTATTACACAGCCCATAGTCACTATTCAGAGCCCACCAGTGTGGTATCTGAAAAAATATCTGTGTCCTTACTTATATGTAAAAGAGCCATGACACCATACTGGTGATTTCTGATCCATCATGGCCTGACAGCATCTTGGTGACTGGCATGTCTCTAGGCCAATCAGAAAGATGATTGATATTGATATAGCATTAGATATTGCTAACACCACACTTTATGGTAACCCTAAAGCTGCAATTTGAACTGAGGAAACTCACTGCTCAAGAATGAGGAATGATCATGTGCAAGGAAAAAAACCAACAAAACCCCAAACTTTAAAAAATGTTCATGGATGAATTATTGACCAGATACATATAATAGGGTTACCATATTTCAACAATCAAAAAAGAGGACGGGAGGAGCCCCGCCCTAGCCCCGCCCCCGTCCTGTCCTAGCCCCGCCCCCATCCTGTCCTAGCCCCGCCCCTGCCCCTTCCACTCCCTCCCACTTCCTGCCCCCTCAGAACCCCCAACCCTCCCCCCCCACTCCTTGTCCCCTGACTGCCCCCCAGGACTCCACCCCCTCCCTAAGCCTCCCTGCCTCTTGTCCCCTGACTGCC